ATCTCCACATGGTGGGAGAAGTCACTAAGCTGGGTCGGCTCTCCATGGGCCGGGGCCCACCACGCCCTGACAGATGCCGGCCCGGGATCGGCCTTGGGAGTCCCTGACCCCTGGGTGGGCAAAGGCAGACAGCACGAGAGGGAGGGTCATGGCCACAGGTGGTGCTCCCAGGTGAGGCGAACATCAGTACCAGGCAGGAAAGGTGTCTATGCGCCAGGCCATGGGAGCCGGGAACATGAGCGAGACCGGGCCTTGTGAGAGCTCAGCCTGTGGGCTGGCACCAGAGGGTGACCGCTGACTGCCGCCTGCCCTGCACCTGCACCTGGGCGTCCACACACGTGGTGGCACCCTTACCACACGCGTGGGCCAGAAAGATGCACGTGAAGACTTCTTTATTGAAAATGAACTCTTTAAAGTTTACATAAACGCACGGGTGACTGAATAACAAACCACTATTTACAAAACTAGGGCAGTTTCCCACCTTTGTATGTAGAGGCTGAGATCGGGGAACACAGACAGCTCTTGATTTACTCCCGCCACCAACTTCTCGCTGGAAGGGTGCCAGGCTGGTTGTTTTGTTTGTTTGTTTGTTTGTTTCAGTGTGGAGATGAAATGTTTCCAGTGTTTGAACATTTAATGTTAAGAGGCTATTGTGAAGCGTTCCAAGTTGGCACAAGTTTGGTGTGCAAGGAGAACTCTTTCCATTCCCCACACTCACACTCGGCTTCCATGCATCTGCTGGGGGAGCAAAAAACAGCTTCCTTTGTACCTTTCCTCTACGCACTGTGAGAAGCTCGGACCCCTCGGCTGGCCAGCTGGTGTGGTGGCTTCTCAGAAGCCCGGCATAAACAATGCCTTTGCCTTTACACTGAGACTTTCCTCCTCGGTCACTTCTCCAACTCGCACCTCCTGAGCAGGACCTGTGTGTCAGGCCAGCATGGGGCATGTTGGTCTCTCACTTCCCTGCTGTCCTCCGACCCCATGGGCTGGCTTGGCAGACAGCTATATGAGCAGGTATCCTGTCAGGCCATGCACACAGAGGCGTGGATCCACAGCCAGCCAGCGGACGTGAGCAGCTCTGTGTCATTACGAGATCCTGGTCACACTCACAAACTACACATCTGCTGTAATTCTCAAGATAAAAATCAACCAGTCAGGCAAAAGATCGTGTTCTTTTATGGGAAACAAAACACCCAAACCAAACTACTCTGAGAAAGAATTCCTATATAACAGGTTCAGCTTCCTACGGTAGAGAAAATACTGCTTAACTTTCCATTAGGTATTAGGTGATTTCGGTAACGCTTGTATGTGGCTAGATTGGAAAATTTAAGTGAAACTCAATGATTCAAAGACTCTTTGAACAAGGAACATCTGAGAGAGAAAAATGCATATAGAATGAGGTTTTTGTGTGATACATTTATATCTGTTATAGAACTGAAATTCGGCTTACACAGAGTGTGGTGCTATACCCCCCCACCTGTCAGGAACGATAGGGCTTCAGAATTAACACGTTGCCCTGAAGAGTGTCTTGGTTGAGCTCATGGCTTCTGGATGATTTAGAACTATAAGGTGGTGGAATCATATAATCCTTGAACAGTTGTTGGTTCAACTTTCTAAAACTTCTAATCATACTAGTGGTGCGGTCACGGTGTTTGAGGCAAGTTAGCCTAAAGGAGCCCATCGCCTGGGTTTTCAACTGTGAAATGTCTCCTTCCTCAGAAAAAGTGCTCCCCAGAGCTGGGATGTGAAGTCTGCAGCAGACGATACCCAATCAGTTCATTCTGTTTGTGTAAATCTAGTTTGTGATATTTTAACTAAAATTTGCCAGAAAAAGATATTTAAATGTGGAGGTTTATCACTTTACCTCACTTCACTAATCCCTGTTAAAATATTATAAATAGCAATGAGCTTAGAGTTGCAAAGCAGAAACCTAAAAGGAGTTAACCAAAAGTCTTTTGTAAAAGATGCAAGGAAATCCTTCCAACAGATAACTGAACCAGTCTGCTTTGATCCATAGGAATTATCTGCAGTCCCTGTTCCTTTTATCTTTAAAATAAAATGAAGAAGAAAAGTCTCATATTTTAAGCAGATTATTTTACAAGCACTTTCCGGGGACGGGGGTCCCTTCTTTTTCCCATGTTGCTGTAGGTGACTCTTCCTCCAAGGAGAGAGGGTCTGATTTGCTGTAGTTTTCCAGACCGCAGCCTGTCCGTGGCTGGAGTGTGTGGGTTACGTGAAAAGCTCGCTGGACAGACCTGTGCTCCCTTTTGATAAAGACAGTGAAAGGGCAGGATCTGACACACGGTGAGGGTACAGAGGCAGGAGACGCTTTGAAGTCCAAAGCATTCGACAACAAGTTTTGGCATTACTAAAAAATCATGGGAAGGATTTTGGCCGACTTTTCATTTTGTTTTTGATCTGTCTTCAGTTCGCGTTGGCGGGTTCAGGCAGGAAGCAGAGCCCGGGTGACTCTGGCAGACCGCAGGGATTAGTTACAGCAGGAGGGCTGCCGAGTCATCTTGCTTTATGGTAGCAATTCGAAAGAAAAAATTCACATGTGCATAGGCATGCCAAATCTTACCTTTGTGATAGCTAATCTGGACAAACCTTACCTATAAAATCTCCTGAAAATCAGTTGGAACTAATCAAAATGACCTTTTATAGTAACACGTGTCTGAACTCTAAGTAAAGGCATAGGGTTTTTTGTCTCTGAATAAAATGTGATTTTAGATATGACATTAAATATTAATTTGGGGTAGGCCCTGTGCTTTCTCACTATGGTATCAATGTCTTTTAGAGACAAGTAATTAGTGAAGGCAGAAGTTTGGAATTAAACCATCATGGTGAGAAGACCTCACCATCATTTTAAGAGGCAGAAGACTTTAGAGATGTGGCCCACAGAAAGGGACAAGGACAGAGGAAGTAAAAGGAACAGAGGTGAGTTACACACACACACACACACACACACACACACACACACACCAACTCCTCGGGATGAAAAAAGAATCAAATTTTAAAATGAAAATAAATAAATTTTGAACATTGCTTTGTACGTGAACTATTAGAATGAAAAAGTGATTTTCAAAAACTGTAAGTTTCTAGTTATAATTGCTCCACAGTGGGAAGAACACATTCATTCTCATGAAACATTCAATGACAAGAATATATTCTAACCCATCAGTGAGATTTGCTTCTGCTATGCCTAGAATTGTGCCCACTTATTAAGGTTTAGCATTTTGTCTCCTGTATCAGACCTCAAAGCCTGGATCAAAATGACGCAGAGAGACTCACTGTGATTTTATTTATTTTCACATTATGTTTGTATTGTGTTTGTTTGGAAATGTTCTTTCTGGGATAATTGATTACGTGATTATAAATACAAAACAACATTTAATTGGTGAGAGAGTCATCATAATAACTTTGTAATTTTCCCAAATTTCTGTCTCAGAACTACGTATAAATAGTGTATGGTGGTACTACAGACACAATATTCAAAATGAAGACTTCATGCAGCCCAACAGCTCTGTGTGTGTGTGAGTGTGTGTGTGAGTGTGCAGACTTCACCAAGGGCAGCCAGATGACACGCGGATCCCAGATTCTATTTCACAGTTACAACAGACAACACAAACTGAGCTCTGCACGTTGTGCCTCCCACACGAACCTCCCTCCCGGAGAGTCAGAGACGCACACCGGCAGAAGTGAGAACGAACCCACTTCCTTACAGAACAGCGGCCCACGCGGCAGACAGCGCGTGTCCTCGCCATGTGTACCACAGTCACGGCTGTTCCTAGAAGCTTGCCTGCTGTCACCATGACTCCAAAGCTCGACTATTCCACATATTAATAATCACTCCCCCAAACCAGCCGATGGGTTGTAACAGTCAAACAATTTTCACGGTTTTGTTTGAGACTATGGCTTGTGTTTGGCTGAGGGTGTAAAGGCCAACAAGTTTCCATTCATTAATAGGAGGTCTTAGGACAAATCCAGGTAGGAAAGTAAAGAATTAGAGTACTTACTTGAAATTAAAGTGAATGTTAATTCAGTTTTAGATGCTCTGCCGCAGAAAATGGACAATTTTCAGTTGGCAGCAGGATGCATCACAAGTTAAGGAAGACTTTTTGGCAAATACTCCACTTTTTAATATACGAGTGACTTTAGAAAAAATAACTATGTGCACAACTGACCCAATCTGTGTCCGCTTTAGGGGTGCAGAAACAGGTGACCTCGTTTACTTCTTATTTGATTAAGTAAATGGACAAACACTTGCCTAATCTCTGACTTCATTTAAAATAAAAATACAAATGTAAAAAGCTGTAATAAAACTCAGCTGCATTCTGAGCTGCAAGGCCAGGAGGGCCGTCCCAGCGTTCCCTTCGCCCCATTTCTTACCCAACAACGCATGCGCGCGCACCCACATGCACACATGCGCGTGAGCACACACGCGCTTGTTCAAGCCCCGCGATGCCATTGGGCCTCACGCTCCGTTCTTGCTGCGCAGTGGGCAGGCGCCATTTCACGTATCATCGACAACGTCGTCTTGGACACCAGTGGCCGCGCAGCTCCTCGCAGAACGGGCGCAGCCCTTACTCCGCTGCTGGGGAAGCCCAGTCGCCCGGCAGCGCGCGGCGGGGAGAGGCGCTCCGCTCCGAC